GGTATGTTATCAGATCACCCAATAAATCTTCTAAGACTAAAAGCATTTGGATTAATAAAGCTGATTCTGTTTCATCTCATACACCTGTTGTTACTAAATCTGTTCTTCCTTGCATTGTGAGATCTACTAATGATCTGATCAATCTTAGCAAGAAAAGAATTATGTGCTCAACATGCAGAACCAATGATTTTGTCAATAAGAAAATGATCAACAGGTGGCATGGAGATAACAACTATCAGAACAGTTGGAAAGGTAACAACAAGTATGATCACAATAACTGGTATGGGTCATATTCTATTTCTGATCATCTTGTTCAAAGTGCTAAAAAGAATATATCTAATAGGAATAGATGGTTTGGAAGTTACAACATACCCTAACTCGATACTAACAAAATAGGACCCAAATTCATTTGGGTACCAAAATCTACTTAATCTGGTTTTGCAGGTGTGTCAATTTTGTGCTGATCAGAATATCATATCAATGATACACCAATGCAGGGGGAGTTTTAATCTATTCCAAACAAGGCTTCTGAACAATTCAGTTCAGGACCCGTGCTTTATCGAGTGTGGTTTCTAAACACCAGTTTAGGACCCGTGCTAAACATGTTTCCATTTTTTATTATTTTGAGCTAAACTGAATCATCACTGAAATCAACTTTCTAGGGAGAGTCTCTAGAAGTTTTTAATAAATGTTTTTGGAAAATGATTTTTTTTGGGAAACGAGTACATTTTTTGAACAGGTATTTCCTGAGATTTTTGTTGTGTAATTTCTCATCGTACATAACTCCAATATCTATTTCAGCTATTCTTCAAACTGTTATTATCACGTCTCTTATATAAAATCATTTTCGGTGATAATACGCTCGTTTGTATTCAAAGTTTGTTTTATGATATTTTTTTACTATGATTGATATACATTCAATAATTTTTTGAATATCAGAATCTGTAAACTCGTTCTTACAGATCTTCATTCATTTCTCTCGCATACCGAATAATCTGATCGTTGTCGCATCATTCTTTTATTGTTTGTGCTTAAAAGCCAAATATTTTGATCAATTTTTATCTGATCATTGTGCTTTATCTGAAATATTATTTTTGACCAACTGTTTGTGATCAATTGTACATAATGCTAAATCTAAGGAGGGACTGAGTGCTTATCAGAAATATCTCTATGGAATGTCAGAACCGACAAACCTACCCGTGAGGACAACCATATCTGCGTGAGCTTTATATACAAAAGGGTTTGTGTGCTGAGACTAAAATGAAAATGAGAGGGGTAGTTGTGGTGAACTAAAAGAATTGACGAGAGTTGTGTTAGGATTAAAAGAATACGAGAATCCTGTTCCAAACTTCTAAAATCCGGGCATACCACATAATCTATTAGTTCTCAATTCTTTCAAGACTAATATTGAAAAAGGCAAAGCCCAGGCCAATTCTTGTCACAACCCCACCAKCTACTCATTTATCTYTYAACAKATAAGTGTTTCAATAACACTTGGGGCWCGCARCTCAYMWTCTATCAATTTCTCATTCGGAGAAAGTTGATATTGAATCAGAAGGATATATGTCCCCCCTTCAAGTCTTTTTGATCACTAATTGAGTCTGATAAATTTGTGTAGTCCACACGGTTTATTTTTTTGAGCTTAAACAAAAGCATACGTTGCTTTATCCTTCTACACTACACAGATTTTACATTTTATATGTTATTTTGCCAAAAAATTCATAGATATGCTATTATTAAGATATCGATGATTGAATGGAAGACCTGGTAAGATGAGCATCAAAAAGTCTCATATATACAGTACATCCGTTGTACTGAGTATATCTGTTATACTCATAGGCCAATCTGTTTATAAGATTGAAAACAATTTCATTCTTCGAAATTGGTTGTTACCTTCCCTTAATATGAAAAAATTAAATAAGTGGATTTGCAAAGATCACTACAATTTTATGAATTGACGGTTTACAGGGAGGATTTCATTCATTTTTTGTGTATGATGGAATGATTCTGATTTCATCATAAGGGGGAGTATGTAATAATGAATGAAATGTCCAATTCCGAACATTATAAAAGGAATTTGATGTAAAGATCAAAGGGGAGTAACTTCAAAGATGGCAAAAGACTCAATAGAAGTGCGACTGGAGATGATTACAAAAGATTATTCCTGTGCAAAAACGACTGAGAGTTTTTGAATGAGAAGATCATCGTTTCAAAAGTTTACCAACAGAGTTTTCTTATCAAAGAGAAAATTTGTGACTTATTGTCTGAAGATTCTTTAAAGATCACATCTTGTACAGTTGTTTCTGAAGATTTTTGTTGATACTGTTCTACATTGTCAAAAGAAAAGATCATCGCTGTTCTACATTTGAGGGGGAGAATGTTAGAAGATCTTTCTCAACAGATAATTGTCTGAATTTCAAGTTGAAGATTCTTTTGAAGAAGACATAGTGTGCTTAAAGCTTCAAAGTTCAAACGAGATTTGAGGCGTAAAAATTCTTTCAAGTCTGAATACAAAGGGGGAGAATGTTAGGAATGAAAATCAGTATTAAATTGTATTCGTCTTGAAAGTTTATTTTGTCTATAATTGTGTAAAAGTTGTCGTGTTTGACTTTTCTTAGGATAGTTTGACTTTGACTATTTTTGTCTAGTTTGACCCTATATAAAGGGTGATGTCTTGTAATTTGAGTAAGGAGCTCAATTGTAAATTCAGAATACGTAAAGAAGGTTTGACCAACTTTAGAGTTTTGACTTTCTCTCTCAACCTTCATCTCTCTCATCAAAGTGTTCTTAAAAGTTTATATCAGATCTGCCATGGATTCATAGAGGTTTATGAAGATTGATCTTAGACTATCTTTATTCACAAACCAAACCAAACCAAACCAATCTTTATTAAAAAATTAATTTCTCTTTCTTCCACCTACCCAAACCAATCCAATTTAACTTTTTTCATACTTTATTCACAATCCAAACCAATCTTTAAAAATATATTATAAAATTATATATTTATATTTTAGAATATACATATATATGTATGTATATATATATCTTTTAACTTTAAATAAAAAATAAATAAAATTAATTTCATATTTTAAAACATAATTATAAATAAAAAAGAAAAAAATAACATAGTTAATTATTTAAATGAAGTACGAAATTACATAAATATAAAAAGAAAGAAAATACAGAAGGAAGTACAAAATTACATATATTAAAGAAGGAAATAACATAGTTAATTATTAGGGCCAAATTTTTGCCATATATGCTCAATTAAATCATTTTTTAGAGCGTTATGAGCTTCCCTATTGCCAAGTTGTTCCCTATTAGCCATATACCTTGATAGGCTTGCAATTCGTTCAACGGAGAATCCAGGCAGCTGACTATCATCTTCTACGGAGCTTTCTTGTTGTCGATTTGTGGGCATGTCGTTAAGAAATTCAGTAGGATCATAATAATGRAGATATGTATCTCRTTCGTCTTCAACAATCATATTGTGCAAGATAATACAGGCAATCATAATTTGTCCCATATTATCTTTGTCCCAAACAAGACATGGACGTCGAAGAAATGCAAAACGAGCTTGTAGAACTCCAAATGCTCGCTCAACATCTTTTCTCACACCCTCTTGATGTTCGACAAATAACTTATGCTTTTGGATTTGGGGAGACGTAATTGACTTGATAAATGCAGCCCATGAAGGATATATCCCATCAGTGAGATAATATGCCCTATCATTTTCACGACCATTCACGACATATGTAACTTTTGGTGCTCGACCTGCTAATATATCATCAAAAATAGGAGATCGGTGAAATACATTAATATCATTTAACGAACCTGGTGTTCCAAAGAAAGCGTGCCATATCCATAAATCAAATGATGCGACGGCTTCCAAAATGATTGTTGGTTTTCCACTTCTTCCAGCATATTGTCCTGCCCATGTGTTGGGACAATTTTTCCATTGCCAATGCATGCAGTCAATACTACCTATCATACCCGAAAAGCCACGTTGATCCCCAACATGTAGTAGTCTGCCAAATCATCTTTGGTAGGCTTTCTAAGGTAGTCGTCACCAAAACATGAGATGACACCATTTACGAAGTTGATGAGAGCTTCCCTTGTTGTGGATCCACTCATTCTCAAATATTCATCAACTGCATCAACTGATGTCCCATAAGCCAACACCCTCATGGCTCCAGTACATTTTTGCAATGGTGAAAGACTTTGTCTACCCGTGGCATCAAGTCTTCGTTGAAAGTATACGTCATTAGCAGTAACAGCATCCACTATACGATGAAATAAAGGTCTTCTCATTCGAAATCTTCTTCGGAAGATAACATCATCATACGTTGGATTCTCAACAAAATAGTCTTCCATCAAACGTGCTTCACCCATCTCACGTTGCCTATCACGATATATTCTTCTTGCTCTTAGAGGTTGATCTCTTATGAACATATTGGATGAGTTTATCACCATATCCTCGACCATGCGATCAAGTTGTAGGTTTTGTTCAGCAACTCGTGATTGCCATTCATCAAAAACATCAGCTGAATCTGATGAAGAGTTTTCACTATGAGACATTTTAGTAAGGTTTGTGAGAAAACTTTGAGAATGGTTGTATGAATTAGTATATGGTGAAAGAACAAATATATAAGGAAAATTTGAATCATCAGTGGGGGACAATGKCATGTGAACTTTAAGTTGATAGAGACAACACATAATGAGGAGACAATGRCATGTGAACTTTATTTGAAAGAGACAACACCATTATAAATAGACATGACATGTGAACCAAAGCTAACTTCCAAAGCAACCATAGCCATTCATTTTAATTAAAATTACAAATACATAAAATGTAAATTGCAAAATAAAAATACACGAAATACTAAATTACTAATACATAATACGTAAATTAAAAAAATACACGAAATACTAAATTACTAATACATAATACGTAAATTAAAAAAATACACGGAAGAATAAATTACTAATACATAATATCACTATCCATACAACATTGCCAAAARACGTTCTTTCAAMGCCTCCTCTGCCGGTGACAGATGTTCTTTCGCCATCAGTATACGTAGATTTTTGTGGTGTTGATGGACATCAAATTTTTCTTTGTCAAAGTTCAGTTTTTTTGTCAAAAGTTCAACTTCATTGTTTCTTGTAATCGTCATTGCATGAAGTTCTGTAGAAAAATCATTAGAAAATGAAGAAGATTGTGATGTCTTACCTTTTCCTCTCTTTTTTGCCGCATCTCTAATCGTAGGACGCTGAATCGTTGAACGACCAACAATCGGAGATTCTTGGTCGGTGTCTTCTTCTTCCGTAGTTTTAGACCTTTTCGTGCTTCCACCACTATCTTCACAACCCATTTCATATTCCGTACGAGAACGTGTAGTGTCACAGTCTAACTTTATTTTCCACTTGGGATGTTTACACATAACTTGGTTGAATACAAGCAAGTCTAAAAACTTTTTCCCACCCCCCTCATAAATTGCATGAGCTCCTTTCTCAACATCTGCCATACTCATTCCACTTCTTTTTTGACGATATGCTTCTTTGTAAGCAGCAACCCATTTGTTTGCAATTTCGTTAAGTTGCGTCCAACGACCTTTCATTTGATTTTCGTTCCTTTCGCGCATTCCTTCTGGATTTTCTTCTCGAGTTTCATCATAGTATTTTTTCACTCGTGAAAATAGCGCTCCCTTCTTTTGGTTTTTGCCACGAGTAGGGTCTTCACTAACAAAAACCCATGCCGACATTAAAGCCAAATCTTCTTTATTGTGCCATGGATGGTCGGTTCTTGAGGTTTTTTGTGAGGTTTGAACATTTTCAGGGATATACTGAGAATTATCAGAATGTTGAGAGTTAATCCAAAAATTTTGCTGGTTTGGATCCATTGAGGAAAACTTGAAAAAAATTGAATTTTCAAGAAAATGAGAGTATTGAAATGAAGAGAAAGATTGGTGTGTTGAAAATATGTCAAGATTGGTCTCTATTTGTAGGGAATTGAAAAATATGAATTTTAGTATATTTTTTTATTTTTGATATTTTTATTAAAGTTATCTTTTTAACCAGATAAGTTTTACCCTAAAAAAAATTTATAAAACAACCAATTAATAGATGCCAGCTCATTCTAAAATCTATCCAAAAATCTATCCAAAAATCTATCCAAAAATCTATTTAATAATAAAATAATGTTGTGAACTTTGTTTGCGTGTGCAAACAGTTTGCACAAACACAACCACTTCCAATTTCTTTTTTTTTTAATTAACAGATTTTTGTCTTGGTCATTTTTGGGTTGGTTTGGTTTGTGAATGGAGGTAGTCTTATAGGGATAACAAAGTTTTTTCTTCTTAAAACTATCACTGAAGCTTTTCATTCTTCAGTGATCAAAATGTTTTAAAAGGTCTACTCAGTGATTCTTCTATCACTAAATGTGACTCTTCGTTTTTCTTAAATACCTTTTCGTTTTTAAAATAAATAGTTAATGATCCGTCTTTATGACGACATTCTGTTAGACCGCATAAGTATTATGCATGAAGTAATGAAGACAAACAAGTGATGAAGAACCAGAAGGCCGATGGAAGACTTCATGAAAAATGACTAAGTCTAAAGAACATCCAGAGGATCGATGAACTGACCAGAAATGCGATGGAAAATGCATCTCCATAACCCCTCTAGATAACTAGCACTTGAAGTTTCCTTCACCAGTTCAACCAGAGGCAAGCAATGAAGATATGAAGATAAGGTTGAACGCATAAATCATGGAAGACAGCTGGAGATAATCATTAATCAGTTGGATACTACAAAGTTTATATTTTTTTAATGTTTATCCTTATTATAGATAAGCTTTGTCTGTTAATAGAAGATTAGCTAAATAGTTTCACTAGATAGTTATCTTCTTATTAGCCTACTAGTATAAATAGGTGATTAGGCCTATTGTAATCAACGACGCTTTACGTTTTTACATTATTATTGAATAAAGTGAAATCTTTGACACTCAAGATTGTTGTTTGAATGTTCATATATTATTCTTGAGTGTTCATTATTTAGTTCATTAAAACACTATAATTTGGTTATCTTAACTTAATTATTAGTGTTATTGAGAGATCTGGGATCAACAATTGGTATCAGAGCTAATTGATTGTTTTTCAATCAAACGATCATAAAAAATCTCTCAATTCACGTTTTTTTTTACAAAAAATATCTTCTCTAAAACGTAAAATTTCTCTCTTCAAAAAATCTTAATGGCCAACTGGAACTCCGCCTACAGTGTTGGTTCCCTCACCAAACCTCCAACTCTTCAAAGAGAAGAGTACCCACAATGGAGGATACGAATGGTGAATTTTCTGGAAGGGATGGACAGAAACCTTCTACGATCTGTCATGGAGGGTCCCTATATTCCACAGACTCTTGTTCCAAGAGTCCCAGGAACAAATACAACAACTAAAATTTCCGCCTACTACATGCCCAAGGATGAGAAGAATTGAGATAAAGACGACATAGAGCGGGTTGAGACCGACAAAAAGGCCAAAAGACTGATAATCATGGCCATACCCAATGAAATCTTCCAATCCCTTGAGGCATGTTCCACTGCCAAGGAACTATGGGATGAGCTGGCAAGCCAATTGGAAGGAGGGGCAAAAACAAAGAAGAATCATAGAGCCCAATGTCTCAACGAATACACCAACTTTAAGGCTCTTCCTGATGAACCAATTCAGAAGACATACGATCGTTTCAACACATTGATTATTTAATGTCGTCGAAACGATATCTCCAGCTGTGAACCCCTGGCTCTAGCAGCTGAAGAAAAGGAAGTTTCAAGGACCTCCAACAGAGACCACAAGAAGAAATGAAAGAAAGCACTGGTGGTGGAATCAGAATCTGAAGATTAAATATCTGAATCAGATGATGATATCAAAGCCTTTGCCAAGTCTCTGGCCTTGATTATAAAGCAGTTCCAGAAAAAGTTCATCAAGAAACCCTATGAATGGAGAGAGTTCAAGAGGGAAAGGTACCAGCCATCCTATGAAAGGAAGCCATCTAAATTTCATCAGGGGGAAGATAGAAGAGATGGAAGAGAAAAGAGAGAAGAAATAAGAGAAGATAGACGAGAGGAGAAGAAAGAAGACAAAGATGGAAGGAAAAATGACCTCTGCTGCTTCAGATGCGGAAAAATCGTTCATTTTTCAAAAGAATGCAGAGGACGACTGGTAAAGGATGCTGACTATTACAAGAAAAAAATACAAGTACAATCCTAGAGAGCAAAGCCTGATGACTGAGAAAGAAAATTGGGTGTCTGATTCTTCATCCGATGAAGAAGACAAAGCACTCATCTGTCTGATGGCCACGTCCAATGCAGAATCTGCCTCTGACACCGATGACCAAGTATGTGAGTCTACTTTCAATAAGACCAACTCGGCTCCATCTGAGCTAGAGTTAACGGTAATAAAGCTTTTNTATGTGAGTCTACTTTCAATAAGACCAACTCGGCTCCATCTGAGCTAGAGTTAACGGTAATAAAGCTTTTAGAGGACTTTTTAAAATTAAAAGAAAAGTTAAGCTTTGAAAAATCTGAAAGACTTAAAGCGGAAAAAGAAGTCAATTTCTACAAAAGAGAAACTGATCTTCTAACCGAAGAAAAAGCTTATCTGATGAAAGAAAAGACTTGCATCGCCGCCCTTAAAAAATCAGAGGAAGAAAAACTTCTGGAAATAAACAAGTGAGTAACCAAAGACTTTGAAAAGAAAACTAAGGTCTTAAAAGAATCTGAGGCAGAGAGACTCAACTCAGTAGCTCTCAAAGATTTCTTTCAAAAGGAAAGGGAGATTCTTCATCAGAAGCTTCAAACTAATGAACTTCTGATGAAGAAATACAAGGATGCCCAAGATGTGTATGAAAAGTTAAATGGTCAAACGGACACTCAAGGGATTGGATTCAATGAATTGGACTCCTTCATCGATTCAAAGAAATCCACCCTTGAATCCACTTTCAAGCTTGGATGCATTTAGAAACCCGACTTTATCCCGAAACCAAAAGCGAATTTTAAAAGAGTTAAAGTCGATGGAAAAACTATCATTTTAAGACAGGATTTTGAAAATGTGGTGTACGAGAGCAGTACATGTAAGAATTTTGATGAAAGGAATGACACCTCCAAATCAGAAACTGATGGAAACTCTATGGTCAAACCAGAGTCTCTGGTTGTCAATTCCACTTCATCAGCAAGTACTGTTGATGAAAAGGAGAATCCTAATGAGGAACCATCAGCTGATGAATCGATGAACCATCCAAGTAAAACTGAAAGTTCATCTAAGTCAGAATCGATGGAACCTCAAGCAGATCACTCTGAAGCATCAACCTCTGAACCCACACCTTTCACAAACATCCATGCTAATTTTGATTTCGAGAAATCAACGAGAGACTTTCTCGATTCTGAATCTGAAGAAGAAATAACCTGTGAATCACCAAAGATCATTGAGAATAAGAAGCCTCAAAACTCAAAACCCTCAATGAAATCTGGTTTTCCTCTATCGATGAAATCTTCAGAGAAAAGAAAGGAAAAACTGAAAGATATTAAATCTGCCAACGATAAATCAAAAGGTCCTAGCATATCTTCTAAGTTCATTAAGTTTACTCGTGAGCAAAAACAGAAGTGGCCTGCCTCTGAGAAAACTAACCACCACTTTTCCTCTCGTCCAGCTGAAGAAAAGCAGTCCTTCCTTAGGAAAAAAAAAAGTAAAGACAAAGACCCCTTCAAATAAAAAATCTGAACTAGATAGGAAGTTTGTAAAAAAAACTAATGCTAGGACATGATTTACATCTCCTGCATTTACTTCTTTATTTTCAACGAATAAAAAGAACGTTAGACATTCATGCCCAAATCATAATAATTGTCAATGTTTAGATCTTTTACTGTTAGCTCTATTATTCACTTCTTGTAAAAGTATGAAAAAGTATTCTGCAAGTCTTGACATAAGGATATCTTCCACAGAAGACAACAGAGGACTAGCGATAGAAGATGTATATTCGTGCAAGTAAAGAATGACAGAACCTCTGATGTCTCTCATAGAGGTTCTGGAAAATGGTTCTCTGTCAATAAGAACATGCAAGTCAATTTCAGCAAAGCCTCTGAGATGGCTCACAGAGGGTCTGCGGATTTCGTCTTCTGTGAAGATCCTCTTCCAACAGTTTTTCAAAGGTTGT